CGTCTTGGGAAGTGATACGTCAGGAAGTAAAACCAGCCTCGACCTAGTGAAACCATACCCGGAGGTTGCGCAGGTCATAGTGTGGTAAAAAGATGCTAGTTGCATTTTCGACTACATCCAAAAGATCGGGGTTTGCATCCATAATGACAGGACAAAAACTACGACGATTTGAAAGCTGAAGTTAAAAAAACATCTAGAAAGACTGGGGCTCACAAAATTTGTGGTTGTCTGGTAAAGAATTAAGAATAATACCACTAGTTTGAGTATGCAATAATAAAGAGGTCAGATGGAAAAGACTCACTGAGAACTGTTCTCTTCAGAATAGTTCATCGTTAGCCCAGGTCAGCGAATAAACAATAATCTAATCCAGAAATCTTTTTCAGAATAGTTTTAACAACATATAACTGATTCCGAAGATAGTCTCAAATGCTTTGATACCAGAGTTAACACATGAGACTCGCGAATAAACGCCGTAAGCGCGAGCGAAATCAGCAGAGGCAGTCGAAGAACCTGACCACGCTTGTATTGCGTAACACAAAACAAGTGAGCGTTTTTGCAGCTTTTCGTAATCGAACATAAAACGTTTATGCAATTGGAAAAATACGGAATGTTATAATGGAATCAACAGGAAAATACAAAACACCACCCGGGCAGCCACATCCATGCACGTCGATGTAGGCCATGGGCATCGCAGATTATCTTCGGGCTCCTCAAAGCATATTTTTGGAAACGAAAGGCCACTTTTCATGGTGTTGCCAGACAAATATACCGAGACCACTCCAAAACCATTGGCAAAAAACTGAAGATACCAGTGCACTTTTTTTAATTTCCCGATTTTAAAGGCCAGGCCCAGAACCACTGGCGATGGGCAATGCACCCGTGCTGTCTGAGGGTCGCGAGCATAGGAATGCACCATGATTCAACGTAACAGGGTCACTGTCCCTGCAAGGCGTGCCCGTTCACCACACGCGGTTTTCATTCCTCGTGCATGCTGCCAGATGTGCAAAAAAGGAAAACAATTCAGGCAGTCACAAATACGGCCTGTGTTCAGTTAACCGGAATAAGCAAACAGCAAACAAACGCTGGTAAAGACATTATGGAGGGGGCAAGTGAAATGACGGTTTACACTGAGAAAATGGGGATGGAATGGTCGAGTGCACTATGGCTTAACGGCAACTGAGCGTTGGCTTGACGTGCTCTGTCAAACAGAGTTGTACCGCAATGCTGGGTGTGAGACTTTAATGATTTAAACCGAATGCTAAAGTCAAATGCGCTCTCGATTCGATTCATAGAGGAGGTCCTGGGTAGCTAGATATTACTGTAAGGTGCCAGCTATTTCACTGTTTAGGAATTAGTCTATGGAGTGAGAAAGCATGATGATGCGTGATTTGTTCCAGCTGCTCAGGAAGGCTGTTCCAGATGCAAGCGTAGTAATCTAGAAAGAAGCAGTGGCGTGGGTTTTTGCGAGATGGAGGACATATTAGGAGGCTGCAGAAGTTAGGGAATCTGTAGCGAGGACGCGAATTTACGTGTGGTCTAGCCTCTGCTATAAAGGCGTTTTTGTGCAGCAGACGTTTGAGCCAAAGTGGTTCAAAGTCTAGGATTTTGCAGCGGGAGGGGTGAGAGAGTGCGTTGGACTGAGGGGACGTCTTTTCCGGCGCTTTTTTGGGCGCTTTCAGTTGTGAGTCTACAACTTTGGGTATAAAGGGATGAGAATGCTGGGCAGAATTTCAAGACTGGTCGCAAGCATAGCATAAAAATTGCAATCATGGTGTCTGGAAAGTGAAAGGCGCGCAATATTAAAGAAACTGGGCCTGCGTATTCGGGCAATCTAGTACTGTGCCTGGTTTAAAACGCTAGACGTGCGGAACTATATGAGGCCAAGACAGTTGACGTCCGTGGAATGAGTGACAGGATTTCCATGGAGTGTGAAAGCATCAGCTGTTAGGGGGCAGCGGTAGGAATTTATGCTGGATTTCTTGGGGGAGTAGCTTAGGCTAGAGTCGTTTGACCAGCGAATCAGTAAGTCTACGTCTTGCTTAAGCTGGTGAAAGGTGAAGAATAACGCGGAAGGGGGTATGTGTACGCGGAGGAGGAAGACCTTAGCATGGGTTTGGCACC